TTATAACTCAGATTTCGGTGTTCTTTATATCTCTGGAATCCTTGTCACGACCACTACAACTTTCTTCATAGATATCAGATTTATCTAACATTTTATTGTTGACGCTTATTTTTATCCTTTATTTATTATATTATTATAAACAAGTAATAAGCACACAAAAGCACATAATTCACATAATATTCAAGTAATTCATGTTTATTACTTTAAAACAAGTTACAATGGTTGACCTAGATTATTACATCATCATTAATGTTTAGCCCAGAAACACGGGCGTTACAGGAACTCACTAAGCATTATGCTTACAGATTTTGTTTATGGTTTCAGGTACTTTCAGTTCCAAAGGAAATGTGTCTGACATGATAGCACAACATCGTCCCCTCACGGTTTCGCATGAAATAATTTATACTATGATGATTTAACACTATGATTTGTATGAATTCCGAACAATTAATGAATGTTTTGAATGAACTATAAATGAAATAAAATTATTATCATTTTGAGACGTTACACATGAATGCGATTTTAAAATATTAGTATATGAAATATCAAGCCAAAACACTTTAGGCGCAATCTATGCTAATACATCTGAAATGTATTTTCCGAAAAGGTTGTATGAAATATCAAAATTCGGAACAATTTAAAACTCATCATGTCAAAAATTGAAATTGGTCCTAGACCGGCCTAAAATCGATCCTAAAAAGGATTTTAGTGATTATAACCAATCCTAGTCCTAGACCGGACATCTAGTTCTTAAATAATTCTTCTTTCGGTGTAAGTACCTATTTAAATCATATTGAAATAAGTTTGAAACTGAAATCAGTTTCAGTCCTAAACTAGTTAAAGACTAAAACCGGTTTAAAACTACCATCAATTAGTGTATAATTTTATATTATAGATTAAAATCAACCATGTGATATGTCTTTCTTTTTGGGTAAACATGCAAATTTATAGGTAAACATAATGAATGGATTGATTGTCTATGAAAGCTACCACTATGAATTAATTGATAAAAACACATTATACATGCTTCTCTCACTTGTCAATGTTTTTAAAACTGATTAAATTATTTAATAAACATTCTTCAAATTGTATAAGCGCAAATGAATCATGCAGTGAAAACTGAAATTTAATGAATGTTCTTTAATGATTTTTTCTTGTAATTTATATAACAATATTTTCTTTTAAAGTTCTAACCATCTCACTTTCATCTATATTCTTGCAATTAGTTGCCAACAACAAATATATTTAGTAACTCTTGTTATCTTACAAATTCACTATTGGTTACCAACAAACAAACGAGTGATATGTGTCCAAGTCTTCAACAACTAATTAAATAAATAGTAGTAATATTCTCACATTACTTTTTTATTAATAAAAGTAGAAATACTTGATATTTATTATTGTATTCTAGCAAGTCATTTGATTATGTCTTTTATATATATTATTGAAGAAGAGTAATTATCAAACATTGAAGATTGAATATTTAAAATATCCGAAAGATTGAAGAATCGAATATTAAGGGTGCGTTTGGTTTGCTGGAATTGAATGGAATTCGGAGGAAAATGGATCAAATTCCACCATATTCCAGTGTTTGGTTCAACTTTGTATGATAAAATTGGAATTCTAAATGAAAAAACTTTCTATCAAATAAGAGAAAACATTGTTTTTCAAGAAGATGATGGAAATAATTCTATACCACCATCACGCACCTCACCACCACCATCACCACCACCACCACCACCACCTCTATCGCCACTACCATCACCACAACCACGATCAGGACCACCACCACCACATATCATCGTCACCGCCTCCACCTCCACTACCACCTACCACCACTACCGCCATTGCCAACACCACCACCATTTACCACTGCCACCGTCATCGCCACCACCACCTATCACCGTCACCACCACCACCGTCACCACCACCACCACCATCGCCACCACTACCTCCATCACCTGTTACCGCCACCACCGTTACCAGCAACGCCACCACCACCTACCACCGCAATCGTCACCACTTACAATCACTGTCACCACCATCACCACCTACAGCCACCACCACCACTGTCACCGATGCCACCACCCACCAGCACTAACACCAACTACCCCCACTACCGTCACCGCCACCGCCACCACCATCACCCACATACCGCTACCGCTACCACCACCCACCTACCACCACCGCTAACGCCACCACTATCACTCACCACCACTATCAACCCACACCACCACCACCACCTAGCATCGCCACCACTTATTGTCATCGTCATCACTATATACAACCCTTGCCACCGCCATCACCACCCACCACCCTCCACCCTCCACCGCCAACATCCCTACCATCACCGCAACTACCACCCACCACCACCACCTACTATCGTCACCATCACCATCCCCACCACAACCACCTACCACTGCCACATACATGAATGCTCAATTAATAAAATAAGCTTTTACTATTTTATAGGTTATATAATATATCTATACATCTAAGATAAAAAAAACAAAGTAAACTAAATTAAAACAGACAAAAGTGGGCAATTCTGTCATTTTACATGAATTACAATTCCATTTCCTGCCAACCAAACATAATCTGAAATTAATTTTAATTCAATATTTTGTCAACCAAATAGTATATGGAATTTGATTCAAACAAATTCATTTTCCAATTCCAATTCATTTACAAACACTTTGTGAACCAAACAACGTCTAAGAATTATATATATTTCACTTTTGAAACTATATTTGCACTTCGAAATTGTAAGTAATATAAAATTAAAAAAGAAATATGTTCTTGTAGGTATTATGAAAAAAATATATTACATAAAAATATTAACAATTTGTTTTATGTAAAAGAAAATTCATTCACGATGAAAAAAAACCAAGGTTCTAAATGGCGTGCGACGTGACTTGTTAGCAAGGTCAAACCTATGTTATGGTGAGCCTTGGTGAGCCATGACGTTTTTCAAAGCGTGATAATTTTATATACATTAAAACAAATAAATCATATAATTATAGAATTATATCAAATATATCATGTTTTAGAAGTGTTATATTATCATTTAATATGAAAAAATTAACAAAAAAAGTCAATTGTTTTAAGTCCGATAAAAAAAAGAAATCCTGCGTCTTGAAAAAACTCACGTCATAACGCAATAAGGTACACCTTGACACGTTATTTGGTCGTCACGCTTAACAAACCCGTCTTAAACGTTTTCATAACGGCTACACCATGGCGTGCCTTTTAGAATCTTGAAAAAACTAAGGGTCGTTTGATAGTTGCTGACCGAGTTAGTGCTGACTGAGTTAGTGCTGATTGGGTTAGAACTTCTGACCGAGTCCACGTCTGACTGAAACCATGCTGTTTGATTATATCTCTGACCGGTTGTGATGAATGATGCAAAATAACCATATTATCCTTTGATGGAAATTTCTTTATAGTGCCAAAAATAATGAAGAATTTTATTCATGATTCCAATAAAAGCAATGAACTTTGATGATACATGTACATACGCAAAGTGAACATAATAAAAAAAAACATGAATTATTTGTTTTAATCAAATTATAAAGCAATTTGGAACACCAACTTTGACTTTCAATTCAATATTTCACCTTCATTTGAATCATTCTCAACTCTTCTCCCTGATAAAAATAAAAGTTTAAAATCAACAATAAAAATCTTTTTAACAAGAATAACAATATATATTAATATAAAAAATTGCAAGGCCATTTCTATGTTCATACGATTCTCCTGGTTCAACCTTTTTGGGTCCATTCAAGTTTCAATTCGCACCACTTGAGAGATAGAGATTAACATATATAGAATATATATCATGAAATCTGTGAATGGTTAATCTGTTGAGCAAGTTCGAACAACATAACATAGTGCAATATGATACAAGATTTATTTAATCATAATACCAAATCTTTATATTTCCTTACATGTGAATTAAAGAGTCACATGGAATCTATCTTGGTGGAAATTCAAAGAGTTGAACAATTTTTTTTTATCTCTTCCATTAATGTGGCACTGGAAATGGTGGAAACAGAGCAACAATAAACAAGTGTATCAACTGATTTTCACAACAACAATTGACAGCAAAAACCAAACAACAAAAAGGAGCAAAAATCGATCCTAAATTCAGACATATATTCATCAGAATTTCACACATAAAAATTATGAAAACCTGCTATTGATGGAGATGCTTACCTATCACACTATGTATATAGATTTCAAAAACGATTTAGTGAAACCGATTTCATGAACTGATTAAAGAAGAAGATTAAAAACGTCAGAGCTTACCAGCGATTGAAGAAGTCCCCGACAAATAAGATTCATGATGAAGAAGGCGTCGACGATGGCAGAAGGGAGTTGCAAACTCGATGAAGACAGAAGCAGAAGCAGGAGATAGAGAAACGGTGGGATTGTTGTTCACGTCCTCACGATGTAGCGTAAAAAGAATCAGGGGTAAAGTGAGGAAATGTTCCGGTCAGCTTCCTTTTTACCATGGACCGAATCAGCCAATTACCTAGGACCGAATCAGAACAAGGGACTGGGTCTGAAAGGATTAGCCCCTTTATCAAACAGGCTGACTGGACCGAGTCAGCCAAAAGTGCTGACCGGACCCAATCAGCTGCGTATCAAACAGGCCCTAACACTTACTACTGACTTGAACATGAACGAAAAGGAAAAGAAAAATTGGACCGAAACCGGTCTTTAAAAAAAACTCATATTTTTTTTTCATGTTTAGAAAAACCGAACCATTAAAAGTAAATTGAAAATGATATTTGTTCATCTCTACTTCCAGTCAAATATATTTTTAGTCCCACAACATAACATTTTGGAAATGGTAACTTAGCAAATTGCAAATCCTAAAAATTTAATCATTTTCCTATATTCCGCAATAAGATTTGATATGTTTTTTGTGAATATCTATGTATCAATTATTTAAAATTTAATAATCAAATGAATTGTTAGTTGTTTTGTAAAAAGAGATGGGAGACGAGGGCAGGGCGATGAAGGCGGATGTAACGAATTTGATAAACCGATCACGTCCGGATGCAAAAGCCAAAGGAAATCAAGGAACACCACTAATATCCCATTTGCTGGTATATAACGCTAAAGCCAAACTCCATTCTTTTTTCCATTTCATTCCCCCATTTTTGATTTTTCTCTCTCTACTTCCCACTTCTCCACCTCCCAAACAACCAACAAATGGCGGAGCAGCTCACCGATGATCAGATCTCTGAGTTCAAGGAAGCCTTCAGCCTATTTGACAAGGATGGCGACGGTATGTTACGTCTTCCCTTGTGTGACTGTTTTGTTATTGATTTGTGTTCTTAATGGTGTTTCTCCATAGAATCCTATTGATAGTTTCTGATAAGCTTTATATAGATTTCATTTTTTTTTTTTTTTTTTTTTGAGAGAGAGAGAGAGTTTGTGTTCATCTGATTTAGATCACGATTTGCCTTTTGAATTTCTTAAACAATTCGAAATTGCTTTTTCTGGATAGGTTGTGATTTGAATCGTCGATGTATTGACAAAATTAGAAAGAAAAACAAAAAGATAACTGAGCAATACATATCGAGATTGAATTGAGTAATCATCGTTAGCCTATCTAGATTCTTTTAATTAATAGTTGATCTGATATTCTGATGATTATATATCATTTCTTAATGGGGCAAATGCCTTGTCCGTACATCCCGAACAGGGAATTCCGTGTTTTCTTGTATAATCGGTTGCATATATTCAATGATTTTGTTCTGGAATAGAATAATAAAAACAAAAATCCTTCAATTATTTAGACGAACTCGAAAATTGATTTGAAAACTGGCATGAATATATAGGTTGCATCACCACAAAGGAGCTCGGAACTGTGATGAGATCCCTAGGGCAGAATCCGACGGAGGCTGAACTCCAGGACATGATAAACGAAGTTGATGCTGACGGAAACGGAACAATTGATTTCCCGGAGTTTCTAAATCTGATGGCGAGGAAGATGAAGGACACAGATTCCGAGGAAGAACTGAAGGAGGCGTTCAGAGTTTTTGACAAGGATCAGAACGGCTTCATTTCTGCTGCGGAGCTGCGTCATGTGATGACGAATCTTGGGGAAAAGCTTACTGATGAAGAAGTCGATGAGATGATCAGGGAAGCTGATGTTGATGGTGATGGCCAAATCAACTACGAGGAGTTCGTTAAGGTTATGATGGCCAAGTAATAACCCTATAACCCTATATCTCTTTTCTTAAAATTAGTATTGTTTTTAAGGGCAAAAAGGGTTTGAAAAAAACGTTAAAACCTCAAGAGGATGATGACGATGATGATATGATGATGATGATTGAATATTGATGATGATGATAATGTTTATTCTACTGGAGGCCATGATGTTTAATTATGATGTATGTATTGTTGACAATTATATTCACATCTCCTTTTCACTTCCCCTCTTGTTCGTTGGCTATTTCTTAAAGATTTTTCAGGCCAAAACTTTCAGTCTGTTGTTTCGTTTCTAGGAATCGGTGGATTTGTTAACATTTTCTGATTGGTATTATTCATAAAATGACTCTTTTTTAGTCATACTATCATAAAATATGACCATTTTTTTTGTAAAATGAATTATGCGAAAGTACATCAGTTTGTGAAAATTTATTCTCTGGCGCAGAACAATTTGCAAAATCATAAATTAGACGTAGTCATCGACCCAATAGATTTTATACTTGAGGAATTTCGGTTTTTGATATGGGCTGTCATTTGAAAGCATATAAATACCACTTTATTTGACAAAAGTATATGTGTGTATATGTTAGAATCCAAAAGTCAAAAGCTAAACTTTCCGCATATAAATACCATTTTATTTGACAAAAGTATATATCTGTGTGTGTATATGTTAGAATACAAATTTCAAAAGATAAACTTGCTCTTACATTCGGACAATAAGGGGAAAGTTTAAACGAAATATAAACTCTCTCAAACCATAAGCACGTTAGGGTCTTGACATCGAAGCAGGAGATGGCATCAAGAATCAAGGTAAGGGAGAAGGGGGGGAAATTAAATAATGATGATCCTAATTATGAATTGGAGTTCGATCATGAGGTGCTTTTAAAAATATGCCCATGCATTACGAAAGGGAAATGGTCATAGTTGCAACCTTTAAATGTGTAACGAACTTATTTCCTATAACCCTTTGTGAAAATCAATATGAGTTTTTGGATGAAATAGATGAACATCTTGATGATTAATTGAAGATAACATAGCCCATCTTGATGATGATGAGAACTACTTAGTGGTGAAGTTACAGTCCATGATCCCACCATATACAAATAATCCATATCAATGAAAGTTTTCAAAAAAGTTATGTTAAATAATTAAATCGATCATTCCAAATAATTAAATCGATCATTCCATACAAAAGCTTTAACTTCAACAAATGTCACTTCTAAGTTGTAATCAACCATCCAAACAAATTTCAAAACCAAAAAGTTACAAAACCATTTGCAATCATTTTACACATGCATTATTATAGTCTAAGATATAAACCACAAAATTTAACAAAATCATTCATTACATTACATAACCTTTTTTATACCAAAAATACACATGAAGCATCATTTAGATGATTAATTTTTCCAACTTATTCTCAACTTAAACTATGCTCAAATTCACTCACAACACTCACTAAACCTTCACAAATCAACATGAGAAGCATGATGAACACACATACACCACCTCCCGTCAATCTTCTCAAACACATTAGTCGCAAACTGTCTTCCCCAACTTTTACCCGTTGTTCTAACCATTTCAACACAAGTAACATACCCCATCTCACCTTTCACAAAAACTTGCACATCCTTCACATCAATCGATAATGGAAACTCATAATCTGCCCACACAAATTCCCAACTTCCCATCACAAGTTCATACCCCGAAATCCCACTAACACCCGGATGCACCACACACACGTTTTCGTTTTTTGACCATAGTTCTTGCATGGCGGCTAAATCACCGTTTCTGAATGAGTTATAGAATCGGGAATTGGCGGCTAAGACAGCGGTTTTGCTGTCTTCTTGGAGGAGTTTAAGGTTGTCTCGGATTTTGGCGGCTTGGGTGTAGTTTTCATCGCGAATGGCGATTTGGAGTTGTTGTTCTAGGGTTTGTTCATCGTATATGATGCTTTCGCTGCTTAGGGTTTTATCCGAATCTTCTCTTTTCACTTGACATGGTTTTGGGAAATGTGGAGATGCGTGTCTCAAAGGTACTGCACTGAACAAGTATGAAATTAGACAGATGCAGAACACAGGACATGACATGACATGACAGTACAATACAAGACAAGGCAAAATGTTTTTTTTTTTTTCTTTTTCTTTTTCTGAGAGAAGGTAAAAAGTAAAGAACGCTTACTAGGAATTCCCTTTTGCTGATTGAAATGAGAACCAGAAAAATGTTTGAGCTTCATTTCTCTTTTAGGTTTCCAGATTGCAACCAATTTGTATTGCTTCCAAGAAGACTGCAAGGAAAGTTTATCTTTTTCCCCAAAACCACTTACACAAGAACAGGGTATGCTACTAAAATCCTTGTTATTACACCAACTCACCTAAGAATTAAAAGGACTAGCATTAGATATATATTATGGAACAAAGGTGATCATATACGTGTCTAAAAATCAGCGAACATACATCTACAAATAACAAAAAGGCTAACAGCATGCACATTATGATATTAGAAGAAATAGAAACGTACTTCTATTGATTAATTTCTTATATCATAAGCATCCATGTTCAAATCAATTTCATTGCTACAATTGGGTTAAGATTGTCTAAAGTATAATGTCTTAATAAAACAAAAAGAAAGTGCAATGCTATAATTGAGTAGTTTTTTCCAAAGTACGATACCTAATAAAAAAATGAAAGTATAATGTAGTAATAGAAGTAAAAGAAAGTAGGATGCTATAATACACAAATAAATAAAACTATGTTGCTATTTCTTGCATTTAGCCAATTAGCCCTATGAAATTATAATCATGTAAGTGCTGAAACAGAACAACAAATCTCACATATGTCACACAAGTCACAACTTCTATTGGTCTTGAATAAAGTAGAAAACAGTTTCCTCTTTTCCCTAAAAGAAGGTAGATTTTAACTTTTCATGTTAAATCTATTTACATTCCAAGGTCAAGAAGGTACTATGTATTTAAGGAAGGATCACCCAAGTTGAGTTGGCATGAGTTTAAATCAGAAAATTATGTATTGTCTCATTTATGTTTGAAGGGTATCCCATAGGAGGACTCAAGATCTGGCAATAAAGGAGCACAATGGATGAGTATCTCAAAGAAGGTTGTTTTTGAAGTAATATTATTTGTACTACATCTTAATCTCATCATCAGATAAATATATAAAAAGATACGTGATACAAATTAGGAAGAAGCATAACACTTTGACTTCTCTAGAAACCTTTCAAATGGTAATTTTTCTATATGACAAATACTAGATCCAAAATCAGATCAAAGCGTAGTTCCTTTACAAGAATAAGGGTATAAAGTTTTATCATACTAGTCAAACTCTTCTCCTATTCTTCGAGCTTTGCATCATGTTTAAAGTCAAAAATCTAGAAGTCAAGATGCTACATGATCAAAAACTAGAAATTGATGTTGCAGACAGTAGTAGAAGCTGCTACGATCTCAAGAAACTCCAGCAAATTCCATAGTAACAACTAAGATAAACAGCCACCGAAACTTCATAGTGAAATCATTAACTTAGGAGAAAATGGATTTGTAGAGAAAATAGGATATGTGTGTGCTTACATTGTTGATAAAGGTTGGTCGGATAATCCCAGGCCGCCCTGACAGAGTAGTGAAATTTGATACTTCCATCAATCGCGGAAGAAGACGATTGAAAGGATTTGCTGTCGATTCTCAGGGATAGGATTTCAAGGGATTTGTTGGTGGTTAGCAGGAAATAAGCCGTTGCGCTATTTCTAGGGTTTATAGCATTGACAATTATTTTGTATTTCATTAAATATTAATCTCATTACTTAAACCATTTTTTTTTAAATATCTTACTAGGTGTGAAAATATACGGGTTAATTTAAAAAATATATATTAAACATTAAAATGTAATCAGTAAATATTTTTTAATGTAAAACATTAAAATTAGAAAGGAAGAAATATATTAATTGCAATTTAATTTTATATATACTATATTTAATAATTTACATATATAAGTATCTGACTTTAATTTTAAAATTTGAAACAAATCAGAAATTGACAAGTGGATAATATTTATTTCAAAAATACCACAAAATGACAAGTGTCAAAAACTCAGTAAATATTTTTTAATGTAAAACGTTAAAATTAGAAAGGAAGAAATGTATTAATTGCAATTTAATTTCATATATATTATATTTAATAAATTTACATATATAAGTATATATGACTTTAATTTTAAAATTTGAAACAAATTAAAAATTGACGAGTGGATAATATTTATTTTAAAAATACCACAAAATGACAAGTGTCAAAAACTAATGAGAGATTGACAAGTGACAAAATTATTTTCATTTATTAGGTAGGATTGATTCAACCCTAAATTTGTTTTCATTTCTAAAAGTTTCGAATTCTTAGCAAACCTATTATTTGGATTATGATAACTAATTCATGGTCTTTTTTTTATTAAAGAGTAATTGCATGGTTTCATAGGAACCAAATTAAGTAGAACTAGTTGATATGATATCCGTTTTGCAGAGTGCGTGATCTGTAAATTTTGTATTAGACAGAGATAATTTTTGTATTTTTTTTAAACACGTGAATCGTTTTCTGTGAAAAAATATGGATATAAACATTTTTCTATAAATTACAGAGATAAATTTTGTAATTTATTTTTCTAAACATGGACCAAACCTACCAAAATAGGAAAGTTTTAAATATGTGGACCTTTTCTAATAAAAAATCGGCTTATAAACATTTTCTATAAATTAGTAGGACTGTTTTCGTAATTTATTTTCTATGTAAGTACCAAGCCTCACTTTTGTAAATTTGTTATTTAGGAAGGGGCATTTATATAATTCTTTTGAACATATGCACCATTCTTGTATATACCATTGTGCATAAGGACTTATTTTGTAAACTACATGGAACATTCTTGTAATTCATTTTCTATGTAGGGACCAAACATGTCAAACTTGAAAACATGCCAATATACGAAATGCAAAGGGATGGGAAATATAGGTGTTGAAATTTAAGAGTGTAAAAGTGACATTTTATAAAGTTGGGAGGTAGAAAGTGGCATTCGACAAAGTAATGGGGTGGAAAGTATGAACGTATGAAAGTCTAAGGACCTAATCTTCCAACATAAAAAAAATTTGTGGTCAAAATCTAAAATACAAAGGTTTTACGGTCATAAATTTATTTGTTGCCAAAGTCCTAAATAATAAATTTTTGTGGTCAAAAACCTAAAACCCTAAAACTATACTTTGTTACCAAAGTCTAAAATAAAAAACTTTTGTCACCAAAATCTAAAACAATAAAAGTATACTATTCAAGATCAATTGGTTTTAATACATATAGTAATATAGTAATGTCTAGTTGGTTATTGAATATGTTAAACTCAATAATACTAGAGCGATAAGTTGGATAAGTTGAGGCTCAATAAATCTGGATTTTTATAAGAAAAAAAAAAGCTTTTTATTAACTTTTTAAAAAAATATTTCACGTTTCACCGAAATTGGAGTTTAATGGGAAAAACAGATGCTTTAAAAAAAATTAAAATATGTTTTACTGCATTTACAAAGTCCATTTCTTTAGTTGAATCAATATTCCTTAATATTTAACCATTAAATATCAATTTTCTTTAACTGTGAAACTTTTGAATTAATATAAAATTTAACAATAAAACTCTTGGTTGCTTGTACAAATTTATAAGTTTATGGTTTAATACAATTGTTTTTGTGAGCATCATAATGTCAACGGGATAAATAGTGATATTAATAATGAATTTGATGTTCTTAGTTATGAATTTAATATAGATGTGTTGTCCAGATGTAGTGGTATGCATTGACCACTTTATAATCGAAAGAGCAATTTAATTTTAGCTTCATATAATTTGTTAGGATGAATATATCGGTGGACATAATGATGCCAGCTAGGATGAAACTTACATTACTTGAAATGGTTTACATAATTTTATAACTTGGTACACAAAAAAAGTAGCACCAAAATAAAATTTTACAAATTTAAGCATGCAACCAAATATAGAAATATTTATAGTTCAATACATCTAGTAAGAAACACACTTGAATCCCAATTACAGAAAAAAAAATGATAGAGGTCTTCAACAATATGTAATATCCTGAGATATTAATCCAATAATAACTTGGATTTGAAGAATCAAACATATGTCTTTCATTTCTGTGTGAATGATGTGCATCACGCTAACTTTGGCGTTATATATTTTGTGTAACACCCACAATTTGAGAATAAATTTTTTACCTTTATGTGTGAGAACTTCACCAATGGTTATTCAATCAGACTTTAAACTGATGAAGTGGAAGTTAAACAATACATTTTGATGAAAACTTTACTAAGGAGAAAGGTGAATAATGTGTGCAACTTGATGAATAATGTATGAGAAAATTTCTAAGGAGAAAGTTGAAATTTTTTTCTCTGTGGATTTCAAGTTCAAGTATAGGTTCTATTCAATGAATTTGTCTCTTTAAAAACAACAGGTTCTATAAAAACTGAATCTTATTTCTATTAACACTTGCCACTATCTTCCAATTTTCAAGCATAACATATGAACCCAAACATGATAAAAAGATTACTATACCCTCCCAATATGTGAGACAGGTGGTATTTTATTATGTACAGTGGTTTGACTTTTGACTTTCCGATGTCTTGCAATTATGGGTTTACTGAAATCAAATACATCTTGAAAATGATTAACTTGGAAAATATGAGTTAAATTTTGGCTACTTACAACTGCAACACAAATGGAGAATACTTGCAACAAAGATATTGATGCATTGTATTCCACTGAGTAAACACCATTCTCAAGTGAAGCCAAACTAAAAGCACATTTGTTGTTCCCCATTCCCTGAAAATATAATCATTTACAAATTATAAACATATTTCCATTGTAGTTGGAAAAAAAAAGGCACATTGCTATTATAGGAAAGAAAAAAAATACCTGGTAAAAAAGATGAACACAATCTGAAGTAGATGGATTTAGAATTTCAGTTGATTCACTCTGATTAGTAAGAACTTTTAGCTCACAACCAATGTCCCACCCTCCACAATCACATGCTCCACCAGATTTCCATCTGCTAATCAAAGAAGAAGGTTTTCCAGTTTTTGGCAAGGTATGAATATCTCCAGGAAGAACAACCACTGTGCTTTTTGACCTCCCTAAACCTCCATACTTTTCTTTACTTGTGTTCTTGACAACAATGGCAGCAAGTTCGGATTGACCAAAATCAGGATCATACAATACTGATTCTCTTTCCACAAATAAATCTCTTTCTAGTCCACTAAACTCAGCATGATATGAACTAGAAATCTTCATATGCCCCAAAATCTTGTTCTTGATTTCATGAACAGAGTAGAATGTGTAAGTCAAACTTGAATCGTCTTTCCCAGATGGTAACTTTTTCACAGTGGCAACTAGAATGTTATTGGAGCTATCTGCCATAAGTTTGAAGAAAGGAATATCATTCTTCATTGTAAGCTGTAGAAGAGCTTGTAGATTAGATGATTTACTTTTTTGTGCTGGATTATTGATGGAGATTGATGGTTTTGTAATGCGATTTGTGTTGGACTTCCAGTTTTCTAGAAGATTCCAGTCAAGAACTCCAAAATCAAAAGTCTTTTCTTGGATATATCCAGTTTTGCCCCCACACTGGAGATAGCTAGGAAGATTGCTACTGTGTTTCACAAGATCGCCGACTTTATGTACAATACTTTCTGACCTCTGGTTCTTGTAAGCCATGGCACTTGTTTTTCTTTCATGATGTTTGCTAACATGTAACCGGTTTCCCATTTTAGAACATTCTGTAGATTCTCTAATCTTGTTTTCTTGTAAAGATGGAGTTTTCAATTTCTTCTTCACCTCTTTTGAGGTTTTCTGTTCCCCCTTTTGCGTCTTCATTCAATCATGCTGGCTGATGGAAGATAGTGCAAGAAAGGGTCTCAGTTTATGTGTCATGTAAAAAATCTGATAAGTTTCATGTATGTGTTCATATTATCGACATCAAAAAGACTTAGCATAGCACATAGCCTGGGATGCTACAAAAACAATATAATCAATTAATTGAATTCATGTTCAATACTATTGCAGATACCAAGAACTAAAAAATTCCTTAAATTTGGAGCTGTTGAAATCAAGAGTTAACAAGAAACATTTATCGAGAACACTATAGTTCCAATCTATCTCAAATTTGGTATTTCAGATGCTACAGTGGTTTTACCTGCAACTATTGGTGCATTACGTAATTTTATCTCAAAAACATATATAAATTTTGGAATGACTACTTTATAATAGTGATTTCTCTTTTGAAATAACAACCTGAGGGAGGGAAAAGAACCTAGAAAGTAGAAACCGATCAAAGATCAAACACAGATAGGCGAAATGAAAATTTTGGAATAACAAATTCAAAGAATGAAGGTCTAAATAAACTAAAATGTAGAAAATATCACTTACTTGAGTAGTGATCATGAAACGAAATCCAACAAAACAGAGAAAAGAAGACCAGAAAGGAAGAGAACATTATAAAGCAAGCAAAGAAATGAACAACTAGAAAGGGAACCTAGGAAGCTACTTTGATTCGACGCGTCAGGAGGTGAGGTTTCTTTCTTCTATGTACATAACATGAATTATAAACTACGAAAGGAATCGATCGCCGAAAACGCAAAAGGGAGTTGGAAGAAAACGATCTTACTCTACAGTAGTTGACCGATTGTTTGCTTCAGCGATAAGATGGTCCTTCTTATTGTTTTTGAATGGCGTAGAAATCATAGCAGATGGTTGTAAAACTGTGGAATCGCCGTGTGATTCGATGGTGGAAGAAAACCCCGCGAAATCAGCTCCACATTGACTGTGTTGAGAACAGATGAGAGATGCGTTTCGTTTTGAATCGAGCGGGTAGAGGACCAACGGTTCGGATAGGATCAGATATGGGCATGGGGTATGGAGCCTTTAATGCCATTAATAATTCCTCTTTGATTATTAATGTCTATTAAAACTTTCGATTTTGATAAAACGAAGAAAATGACATTTGAATATATGCCTTAAAGACTATTTATTGTTAGTTGAGAAGACAATTTTTTCATTAAAAATCTAGAAGACTACTTAATAGTCAAAAATTCCTTTCTTAAACACTTCATTCCAGTTCTCATGCAATTAACTCTAATATTTTTTTTTTTCTTGTAATTCATAAAACTCTACAGAAGTTCAATATATATAGTTCTATAAATAAAACATTTTTTTTCTTATAATAACTCTATATTTATTAAACTTAATTTATTGAAAGTATCATTCCATTAGACAAAATACTCATATGACAAAAGGACAGGCAGAAGAGCCATTCCAAATATAAAATATATGATCATTCCAATGTAACTACAGTCCAAGTCCCTACCTAAGTCAGAACCAATGACATTCACCACCCTCACAACTTGATGGAAATCAACCAAGTCTCCACTCGTCTAAACCTATCTTCTTCACAAATCACAATAGCAGACTCGAGAAATGGCAATCACAGGTCTGGATGTGTTCTTAGGGAACTTGAAGAGGTTAATTTACGATAGCAGTAATAAATTGATTGCAAGCAACCGACTGATCCAAGCCAGAATGTTAGAAATCCAACTATTTTATGAGGAACTTGGCTACCTTATTGAATCTGGTTTCAATAACATGATCAACAATGATGAAGATCCACTCCGTGAGGTTGACGATATTGAAATTAACTGGAAAAGAAGACTTATGGATGTAGCACACAAAGCAGAAAACATTATTGATACATTCATATCCACTGCCATCCACAAGCAAAAGTTATTCTTCATTAGTATACATGCTAATGTCGTTGATTGCCCCCTGCACCTTAAGGATGTTTTGGAAGACTTAAAATCTATCGGGGAAGAGATGAGTCATAATAATAATACTATCCAGCACCATGTGGAGTACTCTCCAAGTGAAATTAGACCACAAGTTTCTGAAACTTCGTTCCACAAAGTGAACCCATGTGAAACAGAGCATCAACATGAACAAGTCATTGTGGGCTTCGATGATGATGCACTGTCAATAATGGACAGACTTACCAGAGACGGCAAGCATCTAGACTTCATCTCGATTGTGGGTATGGGCGGAGTAGGTAAGACAACTTTGGCTACCAAAGTATTCAATGATCCGTATGTTGTATACTATTTTGGCGTACGTGGGTGGATTACTGTTTCTGAAACATATGCAAAACGAGATCTGTTGATAGAATTATTGGCATCAATTGGCAAACCTGTTCATGAAGCAACTACTGAACTCAAACTCTGTGAAATGGTGTACAAGAGCTTAAAGGGTAGGAAATATTTGATCGTAATTGATGATATGTGGAGGGCCACAGCATGGGATGATCTGAGACTATATTTTCCAGATGATAAGATTGGTAGTAGAATCTTGATAACCACTCGCGTTACAGAAGTCGCATGGCATGCAAGGCCTACAGGCGGTTTTACTCATCATCTACAATGTTTAAACGAAGAGAGAAGTTGGGAGCTGTTGCATAGGAAGACTTTTAGGGGATATGATTGCCCTGAAAGTTTGATTGAGACAGGGAAGCATATAGCTAAAAAGTGTGGAGGATTGCCACTTGCATTGGTTGTGATGGCAGGTGTATTGGAAAAGGGAGAGAAGAGCAAAGATCTGTGGGAGAAAGTTGCTGAAAGTGTGAGTTCACACATTGTCGAGGACCCTAAAGGATGCTTAGATACACTAGCTCTTAGTTATGAACATCTACCTCGACATTTGAGAAATTGCTTTCTCTATGCTGGCGGCTTTCCGGAAGACTGTGAAATCCAAGTATGGAGGTTGATCCGCCTATGGATGGCTGAAGGGTTTATTAAAGAATCATCTGAAAGAAGCTTGGAGGAACAAGCTGAGGATTACCTCATGGATCTTGTTGACAGAAATCTGTTGATTGTTGTCAATAGAAGGTCTGATGGTGGAATCAAATCATGTCGTATGCATGATATTTTGAGAGAGCTATGCTTGATAAAAGCTTCTGAAGAGAAGTTCTTTATTAAGAAAATAGATCTCTCATATGGCTATCTTTCATCTTATTTTACTTCCAGCATAAATGAGCAACACCACCGTCTATTCGCAGATTATAAAGTTTTATGTGAGATATATAATTCAGATGATTGTACCACACACATGCGATCAATTTTGTGTTTTTTTAACACTCACCCATTCATGAGATTTGAAATTACAAGGTGGGTTCCTTCCTTTTTGCTACTTAGGGTGTTGGATATACTAAATATTCGGTTGGCCGATATCAGTGACATATTCATACTAATTCATTTAAGGTACCTAGCAGTTTGGCGCCCGAATGACGACTACTCATTCTCAGTTGGCAATCTCTGGAACCTTCAAACTCTCATTCTCAAAGGTGAGGTTTTTTATTCCAAGGATCTAAATATGGAGAATATGGTGGATCTTAGGCATTTATGGAGTGAAAGGACCATCTCTATTGATTCCCGTTCTTATGTATTATGCAACTTGCAAACCCTGTCAAGGGTAAGATTAGTTGTTGGAGATCATACTTTGATGCAATCTTTTCCGAATATAAAGAAACTTGCATGTTCTGTTTCTGGGACATTCAGAGATCATGCATTCCTTAACTTTGCCTTGTTAGCTTATCTTGAAGCATTGGACGTGGAGTACATGGATAATCCATCACCTCTAGTGAATCCAGTCAGGTTGCCAGAAACCTTGAAAAAGCTTACTTTAAAAGGATTACGTCTTCCTTGGACTTATATGTCAAAGATTCGACTCTTACCTAAGCTTGAGGTTCTCAAGTTACTAGACTCTTCGTTTGAGGGAAGTCAGTGGGTTACCGGTGATGAGCAATTTCGCAAACTAAAATTCCTGAAATTAGAGAATCTGAACATCCAATTGTGGGAAGCGTCTAGCATGAACTTCCCCCAGCTCAGGAAACTAGAGATGAGAACATGCAAAAATCTTAAGCAAATTCCACTAGAAATAGGAGACATCTCTACACTTGAGCATATTGAGATTGATGACTCAAACTCGTTGGTACTCAGGTCTGTTAATGAAATTCAAGAAAAGCAACGTGAAATCGGAAACTATGACATCCATGTCAAGGTCGTTGACACTGCTCCACAGGAAGTTTTCTTTGAGGGAGACCCTTACTATGAATAATTTTTAATATCATGGTTGTATTCAGCTCTTTCTTATAGCAATAATAAGGCGATTGCATAGACAATTTTACAATATCTACTATCATGACCATTTTACCTCATAAAGACCGTATACCCGGTTAATTAACTTGATGATTTGGCTTTTATTACGGAACTAAAGCTAGCCACCTAATAAAAACAAGGAAACAATTGATTAAGGTTTGATCGTAATTGTAATCATCGAGCTTTGAGGGGCGATCGAAGGGTTTCAAACATTTGAAAGGGAATCAAACAACGTTTAGACATTCTAACATAACTTACTAAAAATGATACATTGTCATGTATCATTCCACATTGGCATCCATGTAGTTGGGTGTTAACTTGCTAAATGGATATAATTGACATAATTCAAATAAACTTGTGGTTTTTGTGCAAAAAAAATGCCCGAAATGAAATGCTAAACTATAAGGGTGCACGAAATTCATGTAACACCCGGAAATTTGAGAAACAATCTTGAGCATAATTCCCTTTTGAGAATTTGACACAGCATGTCATTACAAGAAAATGCATTTCCAGCAACGACTTTGTAGGAACAAAAATAAATGGTTGCTATAGATATATCCTATAGGAACAAAAATTTGTTGTAATAGGGTTTTAGGTATTTTTCATCGTTTTTCACCAACCCCTGCCTTTAGGAACAAAATTTTGTTGCAATATCATAGGCGGGAAATTTTCCCTCGC